ATAATTATTTTTTATTTATTATTTCACTGCATTTACATATCATAAATTTAAAATTTTTTATTTTTAATAAAAAAATTAATTATTAAATTATTTAAATCATTTATGTTATTTTATAATTTTGAGCTATCAAATCACAAAATATTTATTTTTAAATATTTATTTCAACTGCATTTTACTTAATAAAAAAAGATTTATTGTCCATATTCTTAATTAATATTCGGTTCCTTCGATAGAACATCTTAATCTCAACCCAATGGCCACCCACAGTTTTAATAAAAAACTGTTTTTATTCGTGCAGATCAAACAAAACAACAGATTTTTTGTTTTCAATTTTGTTTCTATTACCGTCGTCACTGTTGCCTATTTGCTAATATTAATAAGTTTCATGAATTCAATTTGGATTAAATAATAATTAAAATTTTATATAAATATAAAAAAATACTATCAATTTCACTTTTAAAAAAAATTGAAATATTAACTTTAAATTGTATTATTTTATTTAATTAAAATTTAATTTAAAATTTAAAATTTTATTTTATTAAATATTAATATTTTAAATTTTAAATATAAATTAAAATTTTAATTTATTTTAAAAATTAAAATTGACACGAATTAATTTCTAAATATGATATATAAAATTTGGTGTAAAAAGCAGATTTCTAATCTCACCTACCTTACAAGTATCTTATAGCTGCGCCGTCAGCACGTCAGGGTGCCAAAGCGCAGTCAAGACTTGAAGGGCTTTTGGGGTTCTCATAGCTATGGCTTCAAGGGCACTGTGGGCTTCAAGGGCTGCTTCATACCTTAGGATCTCTGTGTTCCACAGAGGGTTTTCCACAGGTAAAAATCACTAAAGCTGCCAACTTTGTTTGTCCTTTTATTTTGATGTTTTCTTGGTTCCTTGATCTGTCCTTTTATGCTTGTGATGTGATCACGTCATGAGGAAATGGATCTCGGAAAGTGGTTCTGGGGTTGATTTAGATTGGGATCTTATTTGTTTGTTTGATCTGTGATTCTTTTTTTGATAAAAGATTTGATTTTTCCGTCTGGGTTTTATTTGCTTTTTAAATTTGTTTGATAATAATTTCTCTACTTGCTAATGCATATGGGGAAATTTGAATATGGTTTTAACTTAAGAGTTGTGATCCCTTTTCTCTGATCATCAATGAGACGAATATGGCTTTAACTTACCGTTGTGCACCCTTTTTCTCTTCTTATGAATGGATTTTTCTTTAATCCTTAATTGGAATTGATATAAACCTTCTCTGTTTGTGCACCCTTTTGCTAGTGCATATAATAATTCATTTGCCACTTTTACTCTACTGCAAAAGTTGGTAGCATCTTGAGCATACAATCCTAGGTTTGGTAGTGAGACGCTTCTGCTGAATAATCAATGTTGGCCGGCATTGATGGAAGAAATGATGGAGTGTATGTGCAAAACTTTAACTTATTTGAAAATGGAAATGGCAATGCAATTGAGTGTGGTTTGGACTGTAGAGTTGATTTGACCATTCTCCGTCTCCCTTATTCATCATATCGTAAACACACTGATCAAGTGCGTTGTCCTATTTAACTGCGTTTAAGCTGTGCCCCATGATTGTGGCAGTGTTGTTTTGTGTGCTTGGCTTGATTAATTATTGTTGGTCAAGGTCTCAAATTTTTCTGCAGACAACAATAGAGTTTTGATTGTGATGCCTCTAGTGCAAATTGTTTCTCATTGCTTGTGGTATATTGATTGTTTAAATGCTTTTATCTTTCTATAATATAGCAGAAACTATTATGAAATGATGAAATCGTTGGTTATGTTCTATTTTTTGGATTTACAATGACAAACTATTAGGAATTGGAAGGGAGTCTAGATTTTCAATTTTTTGAATATGACTGGATCCTCAAACTAGGTAGTAATGTTGTCTGTAGTCTTAAAGTTGTCTAGTTCCACATTTTAGTGTTAAGTGCCAACCAATATGTCTTCTTCAGCTGTTTATCTGTGATCAAAAGCCTTAAACAGTTTGGTGTACTGTATCCAACACCTTTTTGAAGTATTGTCCAAAAATGAATTTGATTTGTTGTTTCATCCTCTTAATATACGGCATCTTAGGTATACTTCTATGGTATTCCTGAATGCTCCCTCTCTTTTACCACCTGCTCAATGAGGCAATCTAATCATGTATCTAGTCCTTTCATCTGTTGTATTACTCCCACTGCCCAGACCCGGAGGGTTGTTTCATCTTAGCTTTCTTTGCTGATGGATTATAAACCTCTTTTTTCTTAACATGTCTTCTTGTTAAATCTGTTAATGTTTCTTTCTTTTACCTGTAGTTCTAAAGGATCTGAAATATTCTGACTCTCATGAGTGGGTCAAGGTTGACGGCAACTCTGCTACAATTGGTATAACTGATCATGCTCAAGATCATCTAGGGGATGTAGTGTATGTGGAATTACCTGAAGTGGGAGCGTCTGTAACCCAAGGGGACAGCTTTGGTGCTGTTGAAAGTGTCAAGGCTACTAGCGATGTTAATTCCCCCGTTTCAGGAAAAGTTGTTGAAGTTAATGAAGAACTCAACAATTCCCCTATCTTGGTAAGTCTATTTTCTTATCACATAAGCCATATATTGAGACTAACTATTTCATTTCTGGGGTCTTCCAACTCTCACTTATGTTCATCACAATGTAGGTTAACTCAAGTCCATATGAAAAAGGGTGGATAATAAAGGTTGAGGTGAAGGACACTGAGGAGCTAAATAACTTGATGGACCCGGAAGGATACACAAAATTCTGTGATAAAGAAGATGGAAATCACTGACTCTAGCCTAGGACGCCGACAATGGCATTTGTATTTTTTATGCTTTTTTTTTTCTCTCTAATCTTGGTACTTTCATGTCTTTCTACTTGTTTATGAGTGATGAATTTGGTGGAATATTTTCATTCAATATTAAAGAATAATTATTTCTCGTTTCCAACTGATTTTGCCATCTTCAGTTTTTTTAACAAGATCTACTTAAATATATGTATGTCTTAGCCTCTTAGGGCCTGTTTAAATGAGTGGTTCAAGTATTTGAAATAACTATTATATTTGTCTACAATTAATTGTTATTGTTTATAATTTGAATATTCTTCTACGTTGATTAGTCTAAAGTCTAAACCAATAATTTTAAAATGATCAATGACTAATGGTAATTTGTTTAGATTAGTAGATCATTCTTCTCTAATTTTCAAGTTAAAAAAAAAAAAAAATTGGAAAAAAAGAAGAATCAAAAAATGGGCAAAAAATTAATTTTAAACCCTCAACCTAACAAAATTGAAAGGTTTAACCCCCCAACCTAAAATAAGAAAACTTTGGGTTCCCAACCTAATAAAACCAAAAGGTTTAACCCCCAAAAAATAAAAAAAAAAAAAATATAGCCCTTACTTTATACTTACTGTTAATTCTGTTAATTGAAAGTAGATTTTATTAACTAATAGTTAACTAATAGTTAATTAACAAAATTAACGAAATATTATAAAATTAGTTTTGTTAATTTTGTTAGCTGAAAAAATGTTTTTAACAGTTAACAGTCAATTAAAAGTTAACTAATAGAGTTAACAGTTAGATAACAGAACTAACAAAATATTATAAAATGAGGGCTATTTTCTTTAATTTTAATAGGTGAGGGGCTAAAAGTGTTATAATATAAGGTAAGGGGCTAAAAAACCTATAAATCTAGGACGGTAAGGGACTAAAAATATCATAATATAAGGTGAAGGGCTAAAATATTCTAACTTAACAAGGTGAGGGGCCAAATGTAGGCTGTTGCCCATAAATTGGTGATAGCTTCTGCTTGTATGATTTTGATGTGTACTTAAAGATTGCCTTGCTCCGTCTTTCTGGTCTTTATTTTATTAGCTGGAATTATATCTCTTTCATGTTCTTACAGGCGGTATGCACTGCAATATGACATGTATTTCTCCAGAGTCTAACCAGTAAAATTTGCCACCAAATTAACATTGTTGCCAAAATCATCAGGTGCTGATTTTCTTTCTGGAGATTTTGGTCTGACCCTTGCTGGTGTAACTTCTGATCGACTTGGTGTTGCTGAAAAAGTGACCATCTCAAGTAATTCAACAACAATAGTTGCTTATCCTTCCACAAGGGCAGAAGTCCAGGCAAGAATTATGCAGATGAAGAGTGATCTAGCTCAGATAGATAATGCATATATGTCAAGAAAGCTCAAAGAAACAATTGCCAAACTCATTGGTGGTCTAGCCGTGATTAAGGTTTGTAATATAATGAACTATGTTAAACTGGCCACGCTAAACCCATTTTACTTGAGGTTATATGTTTGAAAATTGACAATAGTGTTGCAAACTGAAATTGACATAATGCATGCTGCGCAATAATTCTTGTAAAGTCTTCTCAGGACTAAGAAGTTAGGAATCTCAACTATGAGCATTATCAAAACTTCTAAAACAACCATGGGGTATTTTAACAATTGGGATAATAATCTAACTACCCCATGAATGTAATAAAGGCTCATGAGGCCCAAATACAAAAGAGTACATACATGAGTCATTATAAAGCTTATATACACTCAAATAGATGCAAAGGGACCAATAGAAGTGCAATACATGTAAAGCACTCCCATGGAGTTTATAAATACCCCACACCCCTTAAAGGTAAGGGACTTTTCCAGAGCACCTCTCTCTATTGTATTTCTTCTCTTTTTAAAAGAGCCTTAAATATAGAATATTACTAACTTGGGTATTGGAGTGTCTACTCCAAGGACAACCCCCAGGTCTGTTTTGTAGATCACCATGCTAGTCAACAATGCTAGAGCTTATGAAGCTACCCAAATAATTGGCATCGTTTGTGGGAACAAATAAAAAAACTTTATTGCTTTGTTGATCTAGTTGATTGTAGGGGGAGGAGAAAAGCGTGACCCTACATGAGTCTCGCAACAAAGCACTATCTCCCAACTTGACTTGCAAATTATGAGCTCTAATGAAGAGTTATAAGTTAAGAGACCTTTTATGGGTAAGTTCCGATGAAGAGTTACGAGCTAAGACCCTACATGGATGAGCTTTGATGAAGGATCATGAGCTGAGAGACCTTGTATGGGTGAGCTTTGATGAAGAGTTACGAGCTAAGAAACCATACATGGATGAGCTCTGATGGAGAGTTACAAGTTGAGACCCTTCATGGGTGAGCTCCAATGAAGAGTTACAAGTTGAGATCCTACATGAGTGAGCTTTAATGAGGAATTAGGAGTTGAGAAGCCTTTCATGGGTGAGCTTTGATGAAGAGTTATGGGCTGAGAGACCCTTCATGGGTAAGCTTCAAGGAAGAGTTACAAGCTAAGACTATACATAGGTGAGCTCCAATAAAGAGTTACATGTTAAAACCCTGTATGGGTGAACTCTAATAAAGAGTTACAAGCTGAGACCCTATATGGGTGAGCTCCAATGAAGGCTTATGAGCTGAGACCCTACATGGGTGAGCTCCGATGATGAATTACAAGTTGAGACCCTACATGGGTGAGCACTGATAAAAAATTACGAGCTAACAGACCCTACATGGGTGAGCACCAATGAAGAATTACAAGCTGAGAGACTACATGGGTGAGCTTTGATGACGAATTACGAGCTGAGAGACCTTACATGGGTAGGCTCCCACAAAGAAATATGAGCTAAGAGAAGGATAGGCTTTAAAGAAATTGAGTTGAGGCTTTAATGAAATTGAGCAAGAACCATGCATGGTGAGCTTCCAACTCCAACTTGAATAATCGGCTTTTAAGCCCATTAGCTATTGGCTTTTCAACCCATCTACTCTACAAGAGCTTGTTTCTGTCAACTATTGGCTTCTTAGCTCATCTATCCTATGAAAGCTCAATTCAATCTTAGCTTTGTGAAGCACAACCCTCAAGGGTTTGAATTCTATGTTATGACTTGAGGGTGAAGATTTTTCAGGTTGTCATTCCTAGCTTCAAGTCCTAATTCTCGGTGTCCAGATCAAGACGATTAGCTCTATGAGAGTACAATTTGATTTTAGCTCTATAGAGCATGACCCTTGGGGGTTTAATTTCTATGTTATGACTTGAGAGGTCAAGATTTTCATATAAATATCCCAAGGTGGGATTTTGAGGTAGACATCTTCAGCTACCAAGTTGGTATTTAATCTATCAGCTCTATAAGAGCTTGTTTTGATTTTAACTCTGCAGAGCATGACCTTTAGAGGTCTGGTTTCTACATTATGGCTCACAAGGTTTGAATTTTCCAGGTCATTACTCTCAAGTTGTCCCTCTGAGGTTGTCAAGTTCCAAGACGACATTCTTTGGCATGCCTCATGATATTGAACTCATGCATGGAAACTTGAGAGATCGATATCTTCTAGGTCATCATTCTTAACTTCTAGGTTTTTGATCATCATTCTCAACTTCCAAGTTGGAAATCTCAAGTCAAGGTTTCTAAGTCAGGTTCCTCAAGAATAAATTGGACCTCTCTACAATCTATAAAAATAAGAAGCTAAACCTGGTGATTTTTCAACAAGCTTACAAATCACTAGAGGGGGAGTAGTGTTGGAATGGTAATCTAACTAGCTTATAAATGTAACAAAAGCCTATGAAACCCAAATATAAAGGAGCAAATGCATGAGTTATTATGAAGCTAATAGAAGTGCAACACGTGTAAAGCACTCCCAAGGAGTCTATAAACACCCCCAAGGAGTCTATAAACACCCCCACACCCTTCAAAGGTAAGGAACTTTTTTGGAGTAGTTCTCTCTCTATTGTACTCATTTTCTCTCTAAAAGAGCCTTAAGTATAAAATATTACTAACTTGGGTGTTAGAGTGTCTACGCGGGACAACCTTGGGTTTATTTTGCAGGTCCCCATGCTTGTCGAACAGTGCTACAGCTCATGAAGCTGCACAAACACTAACATTTCTAAAACTCAGTTGGTACGTGTTGGAAAGTCAAAATCTTTCATAAGTGTAAGACCTTAATTTTAGAGATTAGAAAGTCCCCCATCTACATCTTTCTGTTTTCGCTTTGTTAATCTGCATGTTGTTTATAGGTAGGGGCGCATACTGAGGTGGAACTTGAAGAACGTAAATTGAAAAATTGAAGACGTGAAGAATGCCACATTTGCTGCAATGGATAAAGAGACAGTACCTGGTGGTGGTGCCACCTATATACATCTCTTGGAGCAGATTCCCATCATAAAGAATTCTATGGAGGAATTTGATGAACAGATTGGTGCTGAGATTGTGGCAAATGGATGTTCCCCTTAGATTTGAGTCTTCTATCATCAATTCATTATTTTAGATAAGCTTTGGACTGTTATATCTGTGTCTTTGGTTTGTTTGCTTCGATTTCTCACTTTTCTAGAAGTGACTGAATTGGAATCCTTTTATCATTGGTTGTAAAGGGTAAATTTCAACAGTTTGTCAATGTTGAATTTCAGGCTCTCCTTGCACCTGCAAAAGCAATTGCAACTACAAAAGCAATTGCATTAGCGCAGGTGGTGATGTAGCAGTTGTAGTGGAGAAAACTCGAACTAGCAATTGGAGAACAGGGCACAATGCAATGACAGGAAGATATGAAGGCCTTATCAATGCTGGAGTGATAGATCCTTGTCGAGTTTCAAGGTGTGCTCTTCAAAATTCTGTCTCCATTGCCGGGATAATTCTAACGACTCAGGCCATGCTAGCGGATAAAACAAGGACTCCTGAATCTCTTCACCCCCATGTCCCAGGAATAACTGATGTAGCATCCAGTATAACTCTTTAAGAAGCAACATTAACAGGATGAAAGCTGAGGGAGCCTGTAGAAACTAGTGAACTTCTGTTAGCTTGGTTTTTACCGAAAATTAGCAGAAGGTAACAGACTAAGCTCACCGATTACATATTTTATCAGGAGTCTGACAATACCGAATTCGAAATTCCTGAACTTGGAAATCCATGAAGAGGGATAACTTGTACTGGCTCTCCAACAACAAGAGAAGAACGATGATCCTGTTCATAAGACACTGCAAGGTCCATTTCATGAGGAAAAGAACCTTGTACCTAACGTTTGGTGACTAACTGCTATGTTGGACTTCCATTTTATTCCTTCATTGATGTTCAAGAATTTAATATAAGTCACATATTTGCGTCTCATTAGACACTATCTCTCCTTTTCATATTCGATGGGAAAATGAAGAAGATTGTGAATATTAGATATGAATCAATTAAAAAGCATTACAATAGTAAAAACTATGTTTGAAACAAAATTACAGTTTTATATGAATTTAAAATTGTCTTCATCACACAACTACTTCCACAAACATTGTATGATTATTGTCCATCATACCACTGGAACTAATCCTGTTCTAACAAATTAATTCGCTAACCAAAATAATGTTAGCTTTAGAAATCCGTAGAGTTCTTAAAATTTATTACCCCATTTTTCAACTGCCCTCTAATTGCCTATTTCTCTTGGTAGGTCCTCCACTAACTGCACTTTATTTCAATGCCTTGTTTCTAAAAAAAGCTAATCCATTCAATTAACCCTTTTTCTATGTGTTTTATTTATTAAAAAAATATTTGCTTGATACTGACATGGATGCAGAGTTGTTAATATTTGGGACGGTAAAGTTTCAACTATGTAAGAAAAGTGATAATTAAGCTGAGTAATGAGACCAAAAGGGAAATTAGTTTTGTAATTTGATTTGATGTGTAACTAAGTCATTTGTGGTTACATGATGTTGTTTTGGCATGCTCTTTTCGCATTACTCGCCAGTATAAATTTAATGATGCTGTCTTAATGTCAAAGCCAAGTATGTCTGCTCTAATGGAAAACAGGTCAACCCTATTTATACAAGGAAAATAATTTATGAATAATATTTTTATATTATTTTTTTTTATAAATTTATGTATTATTTAAATAAATAATTTATTTATTTATTTAAAATTTATGATATTAAATATATTTATTTATTTAATAATATAAAAAGATTATATTAAAAAATAATATAAAAAATTATAATCATATTACCACGTATTTATACAATTATTTATTTGGTAATTTATGAGAAAAATTAAAAAAAAAAAGAGAAAATAAACAAAGAGAGGACCTACACCTACAGTATTATGATCATCAATTCATCATGTGCTCCACTTAATATCCTTTACCATTCAATCAAGCCCTCCTGTCATGCTACCACGTTTTATTTTTGTTTAGTATTTATTTTATGAAAAATAATTAAAAATTTTCATATTTTATAATTTGAAATATATCATACTACTATAGTTGGTTAGGTTTGTTAGGTGGGTATTCTTAAGAAAATTACAAGTTAAATTATATAATTTAAAGTATATAAAACTTTGTTGATAATTAAAATTTAAAATTTAATAATTAAATTATGAATTTTTTTTATCTTAATTATACAATGAGAAGCAATCATCTTATTTTTTATTTCATCCTACTCGTATGCCATATAACATGAATTTAAAATTTTTTACTTTCAACAGAAAAAAATATTGTTTAGATTCTTAGCAATTATCAATTTTAAATAGATAAATTCTCAATCACCTCACTTGTTATAAATGATATTTCATTATTTAATAATATATATCTTACCATTTAAATTACAATTTTTTAATTAAAAGTTATATTACAGGTCTCAAAAATTTAGTACTAAAAATAAAACATAATTATTGAATATTATTGCTTTACAAGGAGAGAAAAGAAATGAAAGAAAAAGAAAAGAAAGGGACTTTAAAAAAAGGAGGAAATCTGCATCTTTGTTAGCGCCCGAAAATCTGTCTCTGCTACCGGAAACCAACTGTAACTCTCCCTTTCAGATCTGCTCTGACGAAGCTGCAGCTTCTCTTCTTCAAGCTACAGCTCCTGGCTCTTCGCTTTCGACGACTATTTGTTTCCTCAGAGAATGTGGTGAAGAGGAAACAGTTCAGCTTGACTGCGGTAAGAGTTCAGGTTCCTATACTTGTCTACTTTTGTTTATCTTGTGATGTTTCTAAACTTGGATGGTTTTGGTGATTTTATTTCGCTTTCATCTCGTTTTCTATGGAGCTATGGCGGTTTTCGTTCTTCTTGTTTTCAAAATGTACGGCTTGAAGAACCGAAATTCTACTGTTTTGATTCTTGTTGATAGGAGAATGGATAGTTTTGAAGTCTTAATTTGAAATTTGTTACTATTTTTGATTCATTTTCTTGCTAAATAAACAAAACATTACCAACCAAATTAGAAAATTGTAACCTTTTAATTGTGAAATTTGGGTGATGAAAGGCAGCCAGGTAAGCAGCAACTTTCTTTCCTTTCATTTCTTCTGTGTTGATAGTCGCTAAATTGAGCATTAGGCTAGCCCTTGTTCCTGTAAAGTTCAGTTTCAGTTTCAAAACTATAGAGTTATTGAACTTACCTCAAGCTTCACTTTGCAGAAATTTTGAGAGCATGGCAAAGTCACGCCACCATTTCTCTTCTCAAGATTCACCATTATCACCCACTTCTTCAAGATCAAGAGAATGGGAGGGTCCATCAAGATGGACTGAGTACTTAGGTCTTGATGGGAATTCTCCTATTACAAGTAGAAGCTCTAAAAATGTGGGTTCAGATGGACAGGTCCCCAGTTCTGGTGGTGGGTCCCACAAGGGTTTGAACTTGCAGTGGGTAGTGCAGCTTATTGAAGTTGCAGAAGGGCTCATGGCAAAGATGTATAGATTAAATCAAATCTTGGACTACCCGGATCCTGTTGGTAACAATTATTCAGAGGCCTTTTGGAAAGCAGGTGTATTCCCCAACCATCCAAGGATTTGTGTGTTTCTCTCCAAAAAGTTTCCAGACCACTTCAGCAAATTACAACTTGAGCGTGTAAGAATTTAGTTTTCTATGCTTCATCTTCAGATTTGGTGTTCATGAGTAGTGATGTATTCTATTGTTTGGAATGCCTATTGGTGCAGGTTGATAAAGCTGCTTTGGATGCTTTACGTGACAGTGCAGAAGTTCACTTACAGAGCTTGGATCCATGGGTACAGGTATGGAGCCAGATCTGCTAGTCTCGCACTGTCAGAAAGAAATGAAGGCCCAAGTATCATGTGCTTCTTGCTTAATTTGTCATTTCAGTATTATCACCGTATTTCATTTCCATCACTTTAGTATTTTTTTTTCTCTTAGGGTGATATTTTTTGGCTTATAAATTATATTGGACCAATGGCATCAACTGCATAAACTTTCTTCATGTTCTAATATATAGATCATGAATATAATCATTTCCCACATCCAAGTAGTGACGTTGACTGTCTTCTTTCGTGTGGATCAGCTACTTCTTGACTTGATGGCATTTCGAGAACAAGCCTTACACCTTATATTGGACCTAAGTAGTACAGTTATTACCTTATTGGTAAGTTTAGTGATGCTTTGCTATGTTGCAAAATCTTATCCTTTTTCCCCTTAAAATAGATTTGGATGCTGATATCTGGTTTGATATAAGGTTCCCAAAAATAATATAAATACTGAGACCTCTAATGTAACAAGGATTAGTGCAGTACACTCATAAAACTCTTGACATCTAGATGGAGGAGAGGATAATGACTGATTCATTTTGACATCTCTAATAACTTGACACAGTTTTTTGCAGCCTCATCAGAATTCACTTATACTACATGCATTTATGGATCTCTTCTGTTCATTTGTCCGTGTCACTCTCTTTTCTGAGAAGGCAAGTTGGCAATGTAGTGTACATTAGATTCTCTTTCTCTCAATATCAGTTATTTGAGATTTTGTATCTTATTTCTGATTAATGAACATGAGTATTTCTACGCATAAATGTTTCCTATCAGCTGCCAAGGAAGATGATGCTGCAAGTATATAACCTATTGCATGCTGTGTCCAGAAATGAACGAGACTGTGATTTTTACCATAGGTAAGAAAAACTTTTTATTGGGGAGTTGTCGATCATTTTCTCTAAATTGTCAATGTTTGAAACTCTTTCTTTGGATTTCAGGTTGGTTCATTTCATTGACTCTTATGATCCACCTTTGAAAGGACTACATGAAGACCTAAATTTTGTCAGTCCTCGTATTGGAGAGGTTATTTCATGCTTTAGCTTGTTGATTATGTATAAAATTGTTTACTGTTACCTTAAATTGTATTGTCATGCATTGAGTATTACAATTTTCAATTCCAGGTTTTAGAGGCTGTTGGTCCTATTATTTTCCTATCAACAGACACAAGGAAGCTGAGAAATGAGGGGTTTTTAAGTCCATATCATCCTCGATATCCAGACATACTTACGAATTCTGCTCATCCAATGGTAAATACCGTTATTTTGAAGGTTTTGTTTTGTTTTTTTTTTTTTTTTGGTGATAGTTTTAGTCTTCTTGTAGTTTTGGATTTTTCATTTATTGTTAGGTATACTGCATATCTCACATCTTTTTCAACTTTGCAGAGAGCCCAAGATCTAGCGAATGTTACTTCTTATCGTGAGTGGGTGCTACTTGGTTATCTTGTTTGTCCTGATGAGCTACTTCGCGTCACTAGTGTAGATATTGCTCTGGTACCATGAAAACATTTCAAGATTCTTTCTTGTCTTATAGTGAATATGAAGTTTTCTTTCTGATTGGGTATATACAAATGGATGATGTTGTAGAAACTGAATATCTAAAAACAACTAGTATTAACAGTGTATTCAATGAATACTCTAAATTTATTTCATAGACTGCCATATATCTTGTGCACATGCAAAAGCTCAGTTGCTTTACACCTTTGGTGTACATAAACTAATCTGGTACTTGCATTCATTTTAGTGGTCAGAAGATAAAAAACTAAGCAGAACTTCATTGACCCAATAACAATTTTTCATTTTTGTGGAAATTGGGTTAGCTGTCTCGAGGTTGAATGGGTATTGTTGTGTTTGTTGTAGACTTGTAGTAGCATTTTCCTGACATAAGTTAGTAATGAAGTTATTTTCTATCTCATTTTTAACCATGAAAAGCTGACTTTAGATCTTTGAAATCTTGATAGTTAGGCACTTCCCTTTAACAACTTTTGTTTTGATTTTCTTTAACCCATATATTTGGTTACTAATTTTCTAAAATAGTTTTTTCTTTTTTTCATGCTTACTTTTTCTTTTGTTTATTTTTATTTTTTTGTTTTGGATTTCAGGTGGTACTAAAGGAAAATTTAGTTCTTTCGTTATATAGGGATGAGGTGAGTACCACTGTCTCTTGGAACTGTATGAGGCTTATTATAGTAATTTTTGGTTTGCAGGAATTGATTCTTATAGTAATTTGAGCATGCAGTCTATACTGTTGCATGAGGATTACCAATTATATGTTTTGCCACGGATATCGGAATCAAAAAAGATGGCAAAATCTGGACGAACCAGGCAAAAAGAAGCAGATTTGGAATATAGTGTTGCAAAGCAGGTTGAGAAAATGATAAAGTATGGCCGAAAATTCAAAATTAAGGAGCCAGCTTCTTTTTATTACAACCTTGAATATATAATCTCTCTTCTAATTATGATTGTGAATAAATATCCTCATGTTCAGTGCAAACAATTGTTAGATTAGCCTATATTTTATTTAGTTTCTGTTTTAGTTTCTCTATTTTCATAGGGCCTCCAGCTTTAATACAATGTCATAAATCAATTAATGGTTTCAGAGAAGTTCATGAACAAGCATTGCTATCATGTGATGCTATACACCAGGAGAGGAGAATATTATTGAAGCAAGAAATTGGAAGAATGGTGCTCTTTTTCACTGATCAACCTAGTTTATTGGCCCCCAACATTCAGGTAAGATTGTCATGGACTCTTTTAAGGATTCTTTCCAATGCATTTCTATGGCCTTCTCTATTTTATGCACTCAAATGCCGAGTTTACCTTTCAAATAAGCTTTGACGATTACAAGAATAATGTCTTTTACTAGTTCAGTTTTTTTCCCCAATTTATTTTTCTAAAATGGTTCATGTTTCACTTGTGGAGGGTCTCTAGTTGTCCAAGTTAAAATTTTCTATCATATGTGTATTGTCATCTAAATAATGAAAATTAAGCTCAATTCCACATCACTCTCTCAGCCTGTCATGTTTTGTAGACACAAGACAAAAAACATTTTCAAGCTAATTGAGCACTTCCTCAATGATGTTTGTGTAATTTGCTCCTTGCAGATGGTTTTTTCTACATTGGCTTTGGCTCAATATGAGGTCATTTGGTATTTCCAGCATGTAGGAATTGCATCATCTAAATCAAAAGCTGCTCGAGTTGTTCCAGTTGACGTAGTAAATTGTTTCCTCTTCCTTGTCTCTTAAATCTGTTACCTCTTTAGTTCTATTTTTTCATAAAATAACAGGCTAATGAATCGTTCACTTGCACTGGAATGATTTTCTTCAGGATCCAAATGATCCAACTATTGGGTTCTTACTAGATGGAATGGACCACCTGTGCTGTTTAGTGCGCAAATATATTGCAGGTTGGTATCTGTTTGGTGTATACTTATATTTTTCATTGCGATGAAAATATCAAGTCTACTTGCCCCACAGAAGATACTTTGTATAGATTGTAAATGGATATGTCAATGTGATTGCCTGCCTACTAAATTTCACAACATCAGTCTACTTGAATGAGATAAAAATAGTTAAAATTTTGCACGTACTCAATGGTTTATTTTTCCCTCTGCCAAAGGTGGAAGCAACATGAGGAATAAATAAAACACCCTTCACGGAAAGCTTAAAAAGGAAGCAACAAAGGAGGTAAAAAAGGACACAGACTATACACCAATAAAATATACCCGTCCATCAAGAAGGCAAAAAGTGATATTTTCTGCAGAAGTGTTTAGTTTCCTTTGCATTAGATTCATTTTTTCAGACAAAAATCATTCATATTTCCCAATCAAAGAAGTTTCTTTTTCAACCCAGAGTTTAACAAAACAAACAAAAACCAACTTTCAGTTGGTGTCGTTCCTTTTGCATTGCAACTTGCAAGGTTAATAGTTCTAATACAATCACATCATGTGGTTTCATGCATTTGATTGTTTGTGTGTGTGTGTGTGTGTGTATGTGTATGTGTATTTTCCACTTGTTGGCATCATCTTAAACAGTTCTAAATTACCCTAGGCTGCAGATATTTCTTTATGCTGCTAAATTTTTGAGAGCGTTCTCATATGGTTGGACATGAACTATATTCTGAAGATTTTAGACACTTAAATGCAGCAATCCGGGGTTATGCACTATCATATCTCTCCTCCTGTGCTGGTAGAATTCGTTTTCTGCTGGGGACTCCAGGAATGGTTGCTCTTGACCTTGATGCAACTTTGAAAAGTCTGTTTCAGCAGATTGTTAAACATCTTGAAAATATACCCAAACCACAGGGTGAAACTATTTCTGCCATCACATGTGATCTATCTGTAAGGAATCTCTAAAAACTATATTTCTCTTATCTATTTTCTTTCAAGGATGGACATGTTAACCTTTTCAAAATGCAATCTGATTTCAATTCTCATGTTTGGGCTTTGACACTTGTACCATACCACTATGCAAACTGGGTGCTGATTTTATCTCTTCATTTTACTGCTACTGTTAACCAGGACTTCCGTAAAGATTGGTTGTCAATATTAATGATTGTTACATCTGCTCGATCTTCCATAAACATAAGACATTTGGAGAAAGCAACTGTCTCCACTGGAAAGGAAGGGTTGCTATCTGAAGGAAATGCTGCATACAATTGGTCCAGGTTCCCCCTGACTTTAATTAGGCATCATAGCTGAGATAGTAACCCATAATTGCCATAACTTGTCGCAAATCACCATCAATTGAAATGGATTCCAATCTCTAACCAGCAAAATAACTTTATTTTTCATATGAAATTATATGATTTTAAAGGATGGCATTCAGCCATTAAAAGGGGATACTTTAAATTGAAGGTGGTGAATGCCTGATAGTGCTAATTTTTGAACTACAAAGCCCTTGCTGATTGTAGGCACTCTTTATCTCCAAGTTTTAGCCCTTCTTCTCCATTATATTTTAAAGTCATTAAATAGTTATAGGGACTGGTATTCTTCAACTTGGTAGTCATTGCTAGTAAAACCTTTTTCATATGTCAAATTTCATAGTGAAGGTGAAGCTAAAGCATATCTAAAATGATTGATTATTGTGTTTACGTATGGAACAATGATTAGGGAGTTAGGATGTTGGCGTTATGACAATTCATTAGTGCAGTTTTTTCATACTTCCCTTTTTAACTGGTCTATTGTCCATTTTTACACTAATGTGAGTATCCTTTTTTAGTCCCGTTATTTGTTAATACGAAACATTATTCAAGTATTCAGAAGCATGTCAAAGTCAGCACTTGATAAATGGATTAAAACACTGGTGGTTAACTGGTTATGCAAAAGTGGTAAGTATATGGATCTGTTTCAATGCAGATGCGTGGATGAACTGGAAATTCAATTGTCAAAGCATGGGAGTCTGAGAAAGCTGTATTTCTACCACCAGCACCTTGCAGCAGTATGTTCTTGTTGATATTTACTATATTGCTAGGCTCTAGTTGACCAGTAATGACATTTTTGCACATTCTATTTGGTACTCCTTTCGTATGCTCTCTGTTGAAACGTCCTACATTGTAATTGTAACTTATATTGACCTCTTATAACAGGTCTTTAGGAACACTATGTTTGGACCAGAGGGACGTCCACAGCACTGTTGTGCTTGGGTTGGTGTTGCCAGTAGTTTTCCAGAGTGTGCTTCACCAATTGTTCAAGAAGAGGTATTCATTGAATTAAACCAGCTGCACCAAACAGCCTCCATCTTCCCTGCAGTTTTCCTATTCTTTGATTTCCCATCCTGTTAGATCTGCCATACAAAGTCTATACATTGATCTTTTATTTCCCATCATTGTTAGGTGACAAAAATTGGGCGAGATGCTGTCCTATATGTTGAATCTCTCATCGAATCTATCATGGGGGGGTTGGAAGGATTAATCAATATTCTTGATTCTGAAGGAGGATTTAGTGCATTGGAGATGCAGGTTGGTGCTTAATTCGTCTTCTAGTTTAAATATTTTATTGAAATTACTGTTGCATGAAACTGATTCTTGGTGAAATCTCAGCTTCTTCCAGAGCAGGCAGCTTTTTACCTGAACAATTCATCAAGAGTTTCAATGCCTTTGGCAAAATCCCCAAAGGGAACAGTTTCTTTTCCTTTACCTGGCCATGAGAGCTTTCCTGAAAGTAATGATTCCATTAAAATGTATGGCGCTTCTATCCATCACAGAAATATTTTTCTCGTTTTACTTGGAGTATCTGAATTTTATACAATTAGCATTTTTTTTTTTTCAGCTAACCCTGATACAATTAACAGAATTGCACCTTTTCTGATAATGGCAGGTTGGAGGCTGCAATGCAGAGGTTGACCAACCTATGTTCAGTTTTGAATGATATGGAGCCCATATGTGTTCTAAACCATGTTTTTGTTTTGAGGGAGGTAATTATAGTTATTTTCTCAATGGCACTTGTATATGCAACAATTCTTGGTTGGCCCTTTTATGGTCAGCTGGCTTCCTTGCTTTTCTTTCTTTCTTTTTTCTAATTTCTATCAGCTATTATCTCTTCCATTTTTTGGCAATCTCTCAAACTTCTAATAGTTGATTAACTTTATACATATCTTTGTCTTCCTTCTATAATGTTTGATATTTTGTAAAATCAGCACAGTTGAAGAATCACCTGTTTTCCATCTATCTTAATTTAATCACTCATTTAGATATTACAGATCCAGTTCACAAAATATAAGAACTTTCAGTCTCTAAAAGGTAGGAAGTATGTATTCTATCTGCTAATGTAAACATATTAAAAGTTCTGTGGTAATTTATGATTAGTCTGTTGTTAGTTGGTTTCAGTTCAAAATTTCCTCTCATAGTAAATTTATGCTTATCAGCTGAAAGGTAGATTATCTTGCTTATTATTTTTGCCATGATAGTTTCAACGATGTTATAAAACTGCAAGAAAACTATTATATATTCTCCTTATTTTATTATAATATTCTCATCATATGTGCAGTACATGAGGGAATGTATCCTCGGGAACTTCAGAAGGAGATTGCTTAGTGCGCTGAAAATTGATAATGATCTTCAGCGGCCCTCTGTCCTAGAATCACTTATCCGCAGACATATGAGCATAGTCCATCTAGCAGAGCAGCACATTAGCATGGATCTAACACAGGGAACTCGAGAAATTTTACTCTCAGAGACTTTTTGTGGACCAGTTTCATCTTTGCACTTGTTTGACAAACCAGCAGAGCAACATACTGGATCAGCTGCTGAAGTTGTTTGCAGCTGGTACATAGAAAATATTATCAAGGACATATCGGGTGCTGGAATACTGTTTACACCCTTGCATGAATGCTTCAAAAGCACAAGGCCTGTCGGTGGATATTTTGCTGAGTCAGTCACTGACCTACGAGAGTTGCAAGCTTTTGTTCGTATTTTTGGTGGCTATGGAGTTGATAGGCTGGATAGAATGATGAAAGAACACATGGCTGCACTCTTAAATTGCATCGATACATCATTGAGATCAAACCGAGAGGTGTTAGAGGCAGTTGCTGGAAGCATGCATTCCGGTGACAGAATGGAAAGAGAAGCCTGTTTGAAGCAGATTGTTGATCTGGAGACCACAATTGGCTTTTGCATTGAAGCTGGGCAAGCACTGGCTTTTGACCAACTATTAGCTGAGGCTTCTAGGTCTGTGCTTGAAGAGAGTGCACCCTTGATTTGTTCATTACTTGCTGGGGTAGTTAAGCATATACCTGAAGAAGTGCCTGAAAAGAAGGAAATTAGGAGGATGAGGGGGGTAGCGAACAGTGTTGGTTTGGCTGGTGATCATGATTCAGAGTGGGTGAGATCAATTTTGGAAGAGGTTGGGGGTGCAAATGATGGGTCATGGAGCTTGTTGCCATATTTGTTTGCCATGTTCATGACGTCTAACATCTGGAACACCACTGGCTTCAATGTTGACACTGGTGGATTCAATAACAACATTCATTGTTTGGCAAGGTGGGTCTCTATTTTTCTTTTTCTTTGACTCATTAAATGTGATGTTTCTCGAAGATGGAGGTAGAATGCTTCCTCATACACTGAAAGATTGCATGCTAATGGTTGAAATGCAATGTTGGACCTTACAATCAAATTCTCTTGGCAGGTGCATTAATGCTGTTATTGCTGGAAGTGAGCATGTTAGATTGGAACGTGAACATCAGCAAAGGCAGTTGCTCTCAAATGGCCATGTTGGTGAGAGCTTGGATCCTGATATACGTGTCTCTGCTGAAGCAAGCATAAAATCTGCAATGCAGCTTTTTGTTAAATTTGCAGCCGGAATCATGCTAGATTCTTGGAACGAAACTAACAGGTAAAATGAATTTGTGATGCTTCTCTTGTTTCTTGAATGGAAAGATATGAATTCAAGGCCAATCCCAGCCCTCTCAAACTTACAGACTGCCCAACTACGTCTGATTCTTTGAAGTCTTCCAACTTCCACAATTCCTCTTATAGCATCTCTTGAAATCTTAATCTAAACGTCCCTATTAAAGGACCTTGATTATGTTCTCTGTAACATTTGAATCAATCCCTCCCTTTGTTGAAACAGAAGCTGTCATATCCAATATATTTGTTCCAACTTGGACCCATATTGACTACAAGTCAGCACTAACGCTAAACAACTGATCTAAGTGTATATGGGTCTCGGTCAAGGCCTGTAATACATGCTGATGTAGACAACGGAAAGCCTGATTGATGTATTGATGTGTTTTGATACAAAACTAATGCAAAATATTGATGATTGTCCTCTGGCATTTGCAGATCTCATCTGGTAGCCAAGCTAATTTTTCTAGATCAACTGTGTGACATTTCACCATATCTCCCACGAAGCTCTCTTGAACCTCATATTCCTTATGCTATTCTTCGATCAATATATAGCCAGTACTATGCAAATTCCCTTTCAATGCCTCTGGCACTTTTAACTGCTTCCCCACGCCATTCACCTACTGTAGCTTTGGCGCATGCATCTCCTCTAACAAGGCAGCCCCGTGGGGATTCAACTCCTCAATGCAGTACTACTGATTCAGCATACTTTAAAGGGTCAACATCACATAGCCAGGAGCACCTTTATGATAGTGAAGTTGGAAGTGTTCAGAGCATAGAACCCAAACACCAGACTCTTCGCAGTTCTGGACCTCTGGGTTACAGTTCAAGCCGTAAAGTTAAGCTCCCTGAAGGCTCAACTTCAGGGGGCAGTGGTCCCAGTACACTACCAAGATTTGCAGTATCAAGGTCTGGACCAATATCCTACAAATAGAAGGCAGGTCAGTACCCTGCACCAATAAGAGTAATAAATTATCTGCTTATTGTCACTACTTAGGATTCATTAGCTCAAAAATTCAGAGTTGAGCACACACAAATTTTGGCAATATGTATATCTGTATGCACTTTACAGCTCCATTCTAGTACTGTTCTTGATCTTATAATTTAATTTTTCAAGGGTCATCCCTTGTAGCTAAGCTGTTAAGCAGAGTTATAATTGTGAAATATGTTTGCTTCCCCTGCTGAAATTGTCATCAGTGGTAGATCTTTTGGGTACTTCGTATATGAATTTGTTTTTGCCACCAGTTGAATGTAGTGATTAGGTCTTAAGAGAGACAGATCATAGATGTACAACATTGAATAGGAACAGAGTAGAGCAGGCCCTGAATCTGGGGATTTTCAATTTTTGGCCAAACAAAACCTAGAGAATAAAATTTATCATTAACACAAAGAAAGTAAATTTTATGTACAGATACAGGGGAAATAGCGTATAGACAGATATGGCAGGAGTGTGGACTAGGGATTCTGTCTTTTCTGGCCAAACAGAAGTTAGATATTGAAACCTTATTAACATGGACAGAAGATATACAGACTTATTAAGGAGAAATACCATAAACAGTTAAAGCAGAAACGTAGGACTTCTTATTTTTTGGCCAGACAGAACCCTTGAAGGAGATCAATTTTACACAGGTTGAAGGAGAAATAGCAGGGCCTGGTGGTTTAACTTGCAATATTTCAGTCCCCTGATTTAGGAAAGTAGGATCTCCATATCCTCTTCTTCTGTTTCTGAGAGAAGAACCATTTCATTGAAAAGGTGAATATGCAGCAACCTCAAAAGCTCCAGTTCAGCCTTTTTGTCGTCCATAGCTTCTACCATAGCCGCTGTTTCCTCTCTCATGCTACTGGTTCCGGCCCTTGCCTGTGCTGCTTTTGCTTCCATCCCCTGGAGAGTCTTCTCTTCTTTCCTAAGCTGTTTATCAAATCGCTTTGAGAAAAAATCGAAACTATAATTAGTTTGTCAAAAAAAAAAGAAAATTGTCAAGAATCACATATGATGTTATTGAGAAATTGTAGGCACCTTGAAGTGAAGCCTTTTCTGATGCTTTCTGCTGCCTATCTCCTTTATACCCACCTTCAGTAGTTCTCTGCGCTTGGCTGCAGTTCCATCTGGTCCAGTTTTCTTGGTCGGTTTCTTGCCTGTGCAAAGTCTTCCCATTTCAGCTTTATCTCCTTGGAAGACACTGTAAAGTAGATTTGGAATCAAAAAATGGGTTTGAGATTGAGATTTTCGGTTTCTTAGAGATCGAATTATGAATCAAATTTTAATCAGCGGCACTACTACACATCCTGATCCCGACCAACCTTTTGCCTTCGAAATGCTTTTGTCTCCGACGGATCAGCTCCACCTCCGCCCTTATCTCCTCCATCTCTGCCCTCAACTTCTTTATGATCCGCCTTATCCTTCTTCTCGAGTTTCTTCCCTGAAAGAAATAGAGAAAAAGCCTGCCTGCAATAAGAAAAGCAGAAGAAAGAGGAACAATAGTGATGGAGGAGGATTTTTAAATGTACCTTGCACTTCTTCCCGCGAGTCTTTTCTGAGTTCTGTTTAGCCGCCATCTTGCTCGGAGCCATAACAGTATTTTTTGTCCAGAGATACTTTGGGGGAGGGCTCAGCT